ACTCGATAGCACCTAACAACAACAACAACAAAGAGCAATCTCACAATACTTTTTATAAAACAGATTTTCTTATTCTTCTGACAATCAATGGTACTTTCCATATTCTTCTCCAACACCATAATTCAAATACATCAATTATTTTGTCTTCCTTATTGAATATCCAGCTTTCACATGTATATGAAGTGATTGAAAATCCCATGGCCTGGATGAGTGACATCTTTGCTCTTTAACATCTTTGTTTCCATGAGTGGATCAAAGTAAAATGAAAATTTTGACAATCTCAATCTTTTTCCCATTTATCATAATGTTATTTACTGGTCCAGGTGTGAGGATTTTCATTTTCTTTACACTGAGATGCAAACTATCCTGAAGGCTGTGGTCTTTGATCTTTGTCAGTAAGCACTTCAAGTCCTCTTCAATTCCAGCAAGAAAGGTTGTATCATCTGAATATCACAGCTTGTTAATGAGTCTACCTCCAATCCTGATGCCATGCTCGTCTTCATATAATCTAACTTCTCAGATTATTTGTTCAGCATACAGATAGAATAAGTATGGTGAAAAAATACAACCCCGATGCATACATTTACTGATTTTAAATGATTCAATATCCCCTTTTTCTGTTCTAATGTATGGGTTCTTTGTTAGCACAATTGAGTGTTCTGGAATTCCTATTTTTCACAATGTTATGCATAGTTTGTTATGATTGAATGTTTGTATAGTCAATAAACATCTTTCTGGTACTCTCTGCTTTAGGTTAGGATTCATCTAACATCTGTAATGATATCCGTCATTTCACATCCTCTTCAAAATCTGGCTTGAATTTCTGTCGAGGTACTACTGTAATGTAACCATTATTGAATTATCTTCAGCAAAATTTTACTTTCATGCAATATTAAAGACATTGTTTGGTAATTTCCACATTCCATTGGATCACCTTTCTTTGGAATGGGCACAAACATTAATCTTTTCTGATTGGGCAGCCAGTTAGCTGTCTTCCAAATTTCTTGGCACAGATGAATGAGAGCCTCCACTGCTGCATTAATTTGTTGAAACATTTCAATTTTATTCCACCAATTCCTGGATACTTGTTTTTCACTAATGCCTTTAGTGGAGCTTGGACTTCTTCCTTCAATATCTTCAGTTCTTGGTCATATGGTATCTTTTGAAATGGTAGGACATTGACCAATTCTTTTTGGTAGAGTGACTCTGGGCATTTCTTCCATCTTCTTCTGATGCTTTCTGCATCATTCAATATTTTGTCCATTTATTGCTATTGTGAGGTGTCATC